GGAGGGAGGGAGGGAAAAAGGGAGGGAAGAAGGGAGAGGGAAAGGAAGTGGGAGAGGCAAAGGATGAGGAAAAAGATGGAGGAAAGGAGAGAGGGAAGGTAGGGAGTAGGGGAGGAGGAAGAGTAGATATAGAGATAAAGATAGAAATAAATGGTTACAAGAATGGAAATAACAATGTAATTCTTAAAACAAATTCTCTTTATTTAGAGAATTTGTACTACAGAGTGAGAGGTGTGGTTACGGGAAAAAATGGAATTTAATTTTTGTTTTTTACTTGAGTTTCTTTCTTCTCTGAGCCAGACACTGTTCCAGGGTTGGAAATAGAACAGTGAAACAGACAGACAAGATCTTTACACTTAATGAAGCTTACATTCTAGTGGAGAAAGCAGAAATAAATACATAAACAAGTATGTATAAAAGAGTATCAGAGGGTGATAAGTATGATGGAACCAACCCTTGAATAATGGCTAGAATATTATTTTGTGTATGTCAGAGAGAGGAAGATAAAAGAGAAGTAAAAGTAGACACATGGTGAAGAGAGGACATGACAAAGGTAATAGTGATGGGGTCAGCTGAGATGAGAACTACTGAGAGATGATTAGAGTAGGGACAGTTCATGGAAGAACTTAAAGGCCACGGAGTGATGGATATACTCAATTTAGCAGTTATAAAGAGATAATTACAGTATAAATATCCTGTAGTAATATGCCTACATCAGAACTAAAGTTTAAACCAAAGTTCGTTTTACTCCAAAACACTTCTGTTTGGCAAAACTATATTTACACTATAATGTTGGAAATCCTTCTTGCCTTCCTTAACTACAGTTCTCTGGAATTTTTGGCCATCTAAGTGATATTACAACAAAAGCGAGAAAACTCCAAAATGAAACCTCTCCTTTATGTTCTCGCCAAGTGAATATCTGCTTCATCAATGACTAAATGTAAAATTGATAACATGCTTATTAAGGCATGATACCTGCACATTATAATTATGTTGCCCTTTATCTGTTGCTTTTCTGAGAAACACTAAGAATTTTATGAATCTCATCTCATGAAGTTTCTACAATGCCTGTGAGGCATAGAAAAAGTAAATTTAAAGGTACTGTTCATTATAAGATCAAAGAACCAAAAAAGGTTCAAGCTGTCTTCCAGCCACATAATATTTTCTTTAATGTTGAAATTTAATAAGTTTTCATTGTTCATATGATCAAAGGCTTGTCTCAAATATTCAGCTATGCTTGCATTAATGAAAGAACTACTCCATTGAAAATCCTTTAGTATTTTTCTCATGACAATGACCTTAAGTGATGCTCCACATGCAAAAAAAAGAAAAAAAAGATTTTTGAGGTCAAACAGATTTGGGAAATGGTTATATCATATCTCCTTCTAAGAGATTTATAATGCATTTGTGCATAGGAAGAAATGGATTTCAAATTTCACTGTATATTTGAATTGCTGGAATGCTGCTTAAAAATGCAAGCCCATATGTATAGGACAGAATTATCACTCAGGAGTATTCTTTTTTTAACAATAACCTTAAATGATTATGTGGACAGATCATTTAAGACCAAAAGTGTCAGAAATTATGTGTTAAAAGTGCTGAGAACTACTTTAAATACACTATTTTATGTTCGAATCAACTTTTTCTGCAAACTTGGAAGAGCTATGAACTCCATTATTCCAAATATATCTTAGAAATCCTATATTATGCAGGTTACTTTCTGCACTTATCGTGTTTCCCCCCCTTTTTAATTCCCCCCCCCACACACACACTTCTACCCCTGACCTATGGATGTTGCCATTTCCCCTTAAAAACTAGGTCCCTGAAGGCGGAGCATCTCCTCCCACATGCTCACAGCATGTGCCCAGGGCCTGGCAACCCCCATGCACTTGGGGGACCTGGTGCACCTAGGATATGGGATGTGGCTCTACCTGGGTCATGACCCCAGGCCCCTCTGCATGTAAAGCAGACATACTAACAACTATACTATGGAGCCACCCTTATCATGTTTTTTGAGCTTGATTTTTATATACTTATTTTAGTTAACTTTTAAAAGCTTAAATGCAAGTTTAATAAAAACAAAGACAAGTTATATTACTATAATAAAAACTGAATAATTATAATTTTTCAGGGTAATTTTAGATTCTAGGTCTGATTCAAACCCATACAACATAAGAAGAAACAAATTTATTTAATAGGTCGTGTAGAAGATTCTGCCACACGTGTGCCTAAAATTTTTGTGAATAAGGTAGTCAAGGTTCTGATTACTGATTTATGTTATTACAGTTACAATCTTGTTTTTCCACTATACTAGGCTTATTTAGAAGAAGGGGCTGTGTGTAACAGTTTTGGAGCCGCTAACATATATACTTTAATTAAATCATATGAAAATCAGGCATTTATTAAAATTCTAAGAATTATAATTTTTTTCATAGTCAATGTTTTATTCATTTATTAGTTATTCAGAGATTATATATTGGCCACTTGCCATCCGGTAGACATCTAGCTGAAATCTAGGGCTGATAAACATTGTCTCTGTCTTTAAGAAACAAGATATTGAGGAGCCATACATGCTTATCCATACAAAAACAATATTAAGTGCTAAAATTTTTATATGTTATTGTACCTTTAGAACAGGAAAGTGTTGCTGAGTCTATCTAGTGGTAGAAATGGTGTTCTAGGGAGGGAATGAGTAGCTAGTTTTCAGGACATCATAGTGAAGATAGATTTTTATGAAGGTGGGGTGACATACACATAGGCACAGAAGAGTAAAGTAACATGCTGTATGTTTAGTTAAGAGCAATATAGTGTGAGAATAGGGAGCATATAAAATAACTCTGCTTTAAAATCTAAATTGAAGTAGGTTAAATTTCCTACACAGTCTCTACTTGTAGAATATACAGAATGTTTGCATTTAGAACCAGCTTTGGTATCCTTCTGTTTAACTCCAAGGAAACAAACTGACTTGTTCGAGGTCAGAGCTAACTGGTGGCCATGGACCTAGGCTTGTTTTACACATGGAAAGGATTTTGGAAAAGATAAAAAAAAATTCATATTCTTACACTTAACGGTTTTATAGTTACTTTAAAAATATGTTTAAAATAAAAAGGAACAAAAAAATGGAGGAAGGGGTAATGAGAGGCAGTAAGGAAAGGAGGATGGAAGAGGGGCAGATAAAGAAGGAAGAAAAGAAGAAAAAGAGAAAGAGTGAGTAGGAGAGAGCGAGGGAGAGAGGGACGGAAATTTCAATATCTTAGTTAAAATGGAAATGAAGCCCAATCGAAATACACTGCTAGTAATTCATCTTCTTCAAAATCATTGAGGCTAATAAGTAAGATGATATTTACTGGTTAATAAAATATAGAATCTTATTCCCACAAATATATTTTTTTAAGTATTGAAGATTTTTTTGCTAGACAGATTGATGATCATATTGTTTAAATTGCTTCCTGGTTTGCAATTTTGATGTTCCTGCATATATCCAGACCAGGGGCATATTTAAATCTTGTGTAGACATATCGCAGATATAGTAGTTTTATAATTCTTTATTTTTTTAAACTTTTAATGAAGAAAGAATTTGCCATTGAAATTGAGCTTTGTTGTAGCTGACTGCCACAAGCAGCCCTGAGATCCCCAAACTGACCATGAATGCTTGCTTTCTCCTTAGGTTCTACTCATGTTGTGATGATTCCCCGAGCTTGCCCTTTCAGCTTGTATCAAAGTGAAAAAAAGTCTCAATGGGACAAATTCAAGGGAGTTTTTCTATCTCATTCTTTCATTTGATTTAATTTCATTGACCTATTTTCAATTGCAGCTTTTGCAGGAGGATGGGACCTATTTAATGAAGCATGAAGAAAATTCCCCAAGTACTGACACTGCAAAACCAGAGCCTACCCCAGAGGTATTTTTTGGATTGCTGCTTTTGATTATGTCATAAAACACTTCTTGAACCCATTGGGTTCAATGATTTTCTCTCTTGCTCTAGCTGAAGCAGGGATGTTGTATTGACTAATACAAGATACCTCCTTTACCTAGTGCTTCTGGACTTTTCCATGACCACTGTGCCTGCTACTAAGCTTTTGGTTTGATTATTGGAGGTCATCAGAAGAGGAAAGGGTGAAGGAGGTGTCCCTCCCCACCCATGTAACCAAGAAGCAAAACAAAAATAAATCACAAACAAAAAAACATGCGTTTAATGCTTATGGGACAAAGAAGATAAAAAAAAGATTTGAGGAAGCAGAGAAGGTCAAAAGAAATACATATCCCCAAGAAAAACTAAAAGCAAACATATACCATTCAGGAGCTCAATTCTGAACTTATATCTGTCCTGTTCCATATTTGACTAAAAATATGATGATGAAATTCTGAGGGTTCATTTCACTTAACATATTTCAAATTTGGGATTAAATTAATTAGAATTGAATGGTTTGGCCAAAGTTTTCTCAAAATAGTTTTTGAAATATTTGTCATTTGTAGACAATATTTTATGTACTTCATGAAGTAGCAGTATTAACATATTTAAATTTATTTTATTTCTGTCTGACAGTTCTTTGTAAGATATTTGTTGATATATATGAATTTATATTACTATTCTACTACAATTTTAATTTTTACCTTATTTTTTTTTAAATTTTGACTCTCCTAATTGTCTTTTTGTATTGTTTAACAGGAATTGCAAATGCCTCTTTGTACTGAATGTGAAGTGAAAAAGGCCCAGGAAAAACAATTGACCAGCTTCGAAGGGAGGGCAACTAGAGAAGAAAAAATACTGTAAATACCAAGAAACTGTGTAAAAAACATCCATTTGCTATTGTCTTCATACCCTTTTTAGACTACAGGCTTTATGGAAATACTAAGTTTTTAAAGCATGCAACTTTTTCACAATTTTATGTACTTTATAAAGTAGTCCACAAATTTTCCAAAAGATTCCAGGCCAATTATGATTCTCAAGCAATAACCTAATTAAAAAAGATATCCACAGTCATAAATAGTCATTGTCATCAGTAAATTGCCCAATATCAATTGGTCTGTTTTGAATTCAGATGCAAAATAACACTTAATTCTTATGATTCATTTGAGTATGTAGTACTTCTAAGATCTAATTTGTGAAATCAGCTGGAGGATGATAAAATGTTTTGAATCCACATTTTTAGAATCCAAATTGCAGTTATATCATAAAGATCCTGGTCCACATTAGTCAGTTGAAGTTACTTTCCTCAAGGTTGGAATCTGTGCTGACCTGAATATATATATATTGAGAGTGATTTTTGCTATTCTTCTTATGTTGAACATGGCTAAATAATGTCAAGGCAATTCTGTCAGGGATTTAGTCAGTTAACAGAGTCCACTAAATATGTTTGGTATGATGTAGAAAAAATATCTGGATGAATTACCAAATTTATGACATAATTGCCTAGATTTTTTGGCATTCTATAGACACATCCCTATAGCTGTCTGCTGGAATTACTTCAAGTTTGGAATCAAGTTGTTTGAAATGCTTGACATGATTTTTGGTAGGAAATTGGATAGTGAAATGTGGGATGGGATGAGAGTTCCAAAATACATATATGTAAGCAAATAATATACATTTAAAAATGGAGATTTGATAAAAGTAAAATAGCTATGTAGAATCCATGAAAGTAGTTTTTTTAATATATATATTTTGAAAACATACGTATTATTGAAACAAATCAATGGCTGCAATAATCTTTGTCATTAGGGCTCTACATAGGAATATCACCAAATAAATTCAGTTCCAAGTAACCTGAAGCTCACAAGCAAGAGGAATCGACACTTGAATAATTATCTGATTGATAGGATCAATATAGCATCAAATGTACAGACTCAAATCAATGGGTTAAATGATCAAGTTACTTTGTCTGCACCAAATATATATAGATCCATTTTACAGAAAGCATATAAAACCATCAGTATTACATAATGGATCTGCTAAGCCATAATTAATATATTTGGAGCACTGTATCCTGGTAAGTTGCATTAGAAAATATTTAATAAAAAATATATATATGTATAAAATTAAATCTGCAATTAGTAGATGAAACTAAATTCTGGGTTATAATGGCACACCTTTAATCATAATTACATATTCAAAGAAGTTTAGTTATTTGAAAAAATAGCAAACTATCATTAACAATGAAGGTAATATTGTGATATATTCATGTAGCTGTTGTACTTACAGAATAACTTAGTGTCATATGTCAGTATTTTTCAGATTACAGACTACCTAAGAAAGAAAGAGAATTAATTTTGTAGATAATAGAGTTTTCAGATGAAGTAACTGGTCTAGAAGAAAAGATCAAGCCCCAAAATAAGATAAATTTAAATATACTGACTCCTTCTCAGCTCTAAAAACTTAATTCTATAAGGTGGAAAATTGCTAGTTTCTCAAGTCCCGTTCCTTGTAATTTCTCCATTGTACCACTAAATCCTAACCATCTCTAAAGGCTTATGAAAGGGAAGAAGATAATTGAGTTTTAATGTAGGTTTACTTTCCTACCCCAACCCTGTACCCTAACTTCACTCCTATACTCTATGGATCCTATGGAAAGTTAATTGCCATTTTACTTTAGCAGTGTTTTGAAGCATCTTTGGAACTAATAAAAAGAGAGTAAAGCTGATACTTTCTGAAATTTTTACAGCATATCATAATGAAAGATGAGGATTTGGCTTAATATTAATCAAATTTGAATAGTTAATTGTAAATTATGTGTTCTATACTCTAAATTCCTATGCTAGTATGTGATAATATAATCAAGTTACTTCTCTTAATTATTGTCATGAAGAAGTGGGCTTTGAATGAGTATAATGTATATACTTTTCTTTAATGACAGTATTATGTGTCCTGCAGAGCTTACTGTGCTATATTCATTACATTATTTGTTTTAAAACAAAAGGAATTTTTAGCAGAAAAGCTTTATATATTTTTAAAGAAATTTTCTCGGAGTTCCTTTTAATAGTTGAGCACAGAATTCTTTTTTTGTATGTTCTACGACTTTAATGAATGCATTTTATTTCTCTCAATGCTTTAATTGCTTTAAAATGGCATTGGAGAGGTTTAAATGCTTTACTTACATGTGTGGCTTTTGTCTATGAGAGAGGGACCATTTCTTATCATGTCTTTTAATTAACAGCTCTATAAATAGATGGTTGTTTTTGAGGAGCTAACATTCATAGCCTAACTATCCTCATATGTAAGAAAACGTTAACCTGAATGTCGAATATAGATAGTACTATTCTATTATGTACCTGTAATGGTAAGCAGTGAAAGATTACTTATGCTTTGCAGAATATGAATTCATTTCTGTTGAGAAACAAACATATTTTCCATTGGAATTACTTAATATAGGGATTACCAGAACTGTAGCAATTTATTTCTCTCTCATTATTTTAAAGTACTAATCAATGTTATATGTTCATTCTAAGTTAGAAATTCATTTTGGACTTTATTTCCTTTTATATGCATTAACAATTTAAATTGAACTAGTCCCCAAATTGTATAAGACCTAAATGAATGTCGACTGTGTATCCAATGCCAACGTTCTTGGATGAAAAGTTAAAAATTCAGTAACTCATCTGGATGTGGTTTTCTATGTGATCTCAAATCTCTGAATATTGAATATATTAGATGGCTAACTTCTTTTTTTCATTTTTTAATCATATATTTAGCATTGCAATGCTATTTCAGACATAATTCTGTTTCTTAAAATATACTGGACTACAAGTCTAAGGCTGTTATATGTGAAGGAGACATTTACTGTTTTAGATTGACAATGTGAATAGCTGGATTAAAACAATATCTGTGAACTTTGCTATAATGGAAACTTTTATTTTAAAGCTTAAGTCTACATGTAATTAACATTAACTGCAGCAGAGGCTGAAATAATTATTGGTATTGTACAGTAGGATCAGCTGGCCAGATATAAAGAATAATGAAAACATATACTTGTTTACTTAGGGGACATTTTCTTAGTCATATGTACAGTCTTAAACTATTTTTTTCATCTGGATTATGTAACATAGTATTAAAGGCCAAGCGATAAAGAATAAAAGGTACCGAAAGATGGCCTATTTTTGCTCAATAAAGATTTGTTACCAAAACTACAATGCATATTATCCTACACAAACTAACTGAAAAAGCCAATGTCAATGTTAAAAATAGTACTTGCCTCTGTATATCAAGATCTAAGAACCTTTTTAAAATGTCATCCTGGAAGCTTCTTTAATTTTTGACAATGTCCCAGAAATCTTTTATGTAGTGTGTGTGTTTTTTTGAGAGTTTTGTGATGGCAGAGATTTTTGTCTTTTTGTTTGCAAATGAGTCTCAAGTGCTGAGAACTAGCTGTCTCATAAAAAGGTGCTCAAATATTTGCTGAATGAATTCATTTAGAACCTGGAGCAGCAAGGGAAGAAGTAAAGGAAGTGTCAAGAAAGCATATTCTACTATGATAACAGGGAATCATAAGATAAATCTTTTAGGAAGAAAAATAAATATCATCTTTTAGGTTTTATTTTGTTGTTGTTCATTTATTTTATTTTTAGGCTTTTTCTCCTTTGACTTTTTCTTTGAAAGGTTTATCTACGGCCCTGTAGCTATGACTTTAAGCAGAGTAGATATGACACTCCTTGGAATGCAGCTCATGTAATGGACAATTCACATGGCATTTATGTGTCTTTAATTGGAATCTAGCTTTGACATTTACCTGGATTTGCATGGTCATTTAATTTCTTTTAGTACTTGGACCTTAAATGTTGGACTTAAATCAAAGATTTTCTTCTCCATTCTGCCGAGCCCTAATACTTTAGCAGACATAACTCAAGGGCTGCTGAGGAGGTAAATGAACATCTAGAGCAGTGGTCCTCAACATTTTTGGCACAAGGGACCAGTGCTCCTGTGAGGATCTAATGCTGATGATCTGAGATGGAGCTGAGGCAGGCGATGGTAGCGCTGGGGAGCAGCTGCAAATACAGATGAAGCTTAGCTTGTTCACCAGCTGCTCACTTTCTGCTGTGCAGCCCAGTTCCTAACAGGCCATGGACAAGAGCCCAGGGATTAGAGACCCCTGATCTGGAGGATGGAACTCTGGCCTCTACAATCACTCACCTTCAACTAAAGTATCTATTCTTTTATATAATTTATTCGTTGGGTTTACACATTCTCCATATACTTTTAATGGAGAAAGAGAGTTCAAAATCTAATTTCAAAGTGATTTGAACATCACTGAATAAAATAATCTCTATGATCCCTTCTCCCCATTTGTTTGTTCAGTCAACCAGTCAGTCATTCAACAAATATTCTTTGAGAATGTAAAATATACTTGCCATTCCCCATTTTTGTTGAGGATCCAATGGTAAGCAAAAGTATTAAAATATAAATACTAATATTGCACTTAATATGTGTCAGCCACTGTTTTAGACTATAAACATATATCAGTTAAATATTTTCAGGTTTGTTGAGATATTTATTACAATTATCCTTATTTCACAAATGAGGAAATTGAAGTAGAAAAATGTTAATGAATTACCCAAGATCATACAGCTAGTAAAAGGAAGAGGTGGAATATAGACCTGGCAAATAAGTTGCTGGGATCTGTGTGCTACAGAGAAAAACCAGGATTCTCTTTATAGCTTACCACGAGGAAGAGAGAGTGTATATGAATGCAACTTGGCTGTATGAGATCTTCACTGAATAAAGATATTAAACTAAGATTAATGAATATATATAATATTACATAATATTTTATATGGGTGTTCAAAACTTCAAAAATTGTAAGCATTATTATGGTAATGTCTATGTACATTTGTGCTTTCTGGCATTTGTGAACATTTTAGCTTGTGGATGCATAAATTTAGTATATGCATGCCCTCATATTTTACATCACTGTCCATATATGCACATGCCTATATGCATGTGTTCATGGATATTAATTCAGCAAAATATGCATATATCAGTTGAAGGCCTTTTTTCTTACCCCGATTCCACTCCTAGTCACATGTTTCACGTTGTTTTAACACAGGAATTCTAAGAACACAGTCGATGACTATGTATATATTGTTAAGTGAACATCCGATGCAGCCGCAAAGAATACACTACGCTAATTTAGGCTGCGCAATTGGATACATCAAATTAGCGTCTCCGGTCAGCTATTTGATGAAGACAATCATCCCCATCCTTCAGATGCTTGGCTCATGTTCCTCTTTATGTCTGTTAATTTGTCTTCAGTTAGACGTAGTTTAGGGAATTACATTTGGAGTTATTCACTGGATATCCTAAAAAGGGGAATTCCTTTAAGCATGGGCCCTCAAAAGAATTTACCAACTGTACTTATTGTCATCAAAGTATTTTTCACTTGGGAAAAAATAAAGCAACTAATTGTACCAATAATTATATTATCCACTTTGACCATACCAGATCAAAGGCACACTGTTAAAGAAATAAATATGAAATCATAAGATTAAGGAAAGAAAGATATTTTATTTATCATTGGTAATGAAAAGAATGTTCTTATGACAAGAATTTGCTACAGAAGTTTCCAGACATAGATTTCTTTTGAAAATCACTACACTTTTGAAAACCAGTGTCTGTTTATGAGGAAGTACTTTGCTTAGGTTTTATCTTTTCTCTCTCTTTTTGAAATAAAGTGATGCATTGTTACTTTGTCTTTTCTCTTTGTGGTTTATTTGAATTCGGGTTAAATATGATTCATTGAATAGCTGTAATTTGCAGAATAAGATACTAATTGCTCCATGGTACAACTGCCAGTTAATTGGTTTTTACTTAATATCTGATGTGTTCTGCATAATTTTATTTTCTTAGATAATGTGGAGATAGATTTGTCTCACCGATTCACACTGCACAGTTTCTAGGAACTCCTACTTCACCAAGTGACTTGGTAGGTAATTATTGTTCTTTAACACATCATACAATTTAATGTCTCCTATTATTTCCTTAGATATGAATAAACAATGTAAACTCACTGATTCTCTCTTCTGAAGGTTAACCTATGTGCCTTGCTTAGGCCAAGGGGTGGAAAGCCATGGTGGTAATGGTGAAACTTTTAAAGAAATCCTCAGAAGCCTTCTTGAGCTTGGGTCTCAATTTTGTGTCTTGAAATATACTACTTCCAGGTTAGCTTTTCCAAAAGTTACTTCACTACATACATATGTCTAAACCTTTAGGAGTGTACAGATAACAACACTACACGTGTTACAACATGATCATGAGCAAAGACTTTGGAGTCAAGCTGCTTGCATTAAATTCTTTGTTCAACTTCTTACTAATGTGTGATCTCAGAAAACTGGCTAATCTGTGTGTTTCAGTGTCTTCACCAGTAAATCAGGAATAATAAAATAGCATACTTCATGATAATCATAACTATTTGTTTTAGTATTGAGATCATATAAGTAGGACAGTTAACTCTTGATAAACACTATTTATTTTTATTTTAAAGTTATCTATACATACATAAATAAATCCACAAATGCCCAATAGCAAAATTATTATACATGTGGAATTTCTCTTCCTCTGTGTATATGTAGTATGCGTGGTACACAGGAAGTATAATTTGTTTTGCCTACAAAAAAACTCTCATAATTTTTATCATGTGAAGAAAAAGACTGGATTTGTCTAGATAATGCTATGTTGAACTCACATTTCTTAAGATGAGTGAGTTGAGATAGGATCATCCTTTTAAAACCCCTGTGTGTGGCATCAATTGTCTCTCCATTCATTAAACACAATACCATCAAACAATTTTTCTCCTAAAAATATCTAATTTTTCTCTCTTGTTGAGTCAAAAATATTAATTAAAGGATTCTATTTATTTGTTTCCTAAGAATTGTATAAGAATGTAATTATTTCCTTTACCCTTCTGGTGTAAACTATTTTCTAGATTCCTTTTTATTATTTATCATAATAGGTAATGATTAACATCTGGGGAAACATGAGAAGTATATTTACCTTAAATTGAAACTATAATAATTTTAGTAAGAGGTATCATAAGTTATCATCTAAGGAGATATGGGACAGTACCTTTTATAAATTAAATGAAAAGGTATATGAATAAGATATTTACATGCTCCAATGAAATTTTAATATAAAAAAAGAAAAATATATATATACATTCCAGACTGTCTTTTGCTTCCTATGTTTTAAAATTGCATAGGCTGAGTACTAGTTTTGCTGAGACCTTTAAATCACCAATAAAACATTAATCAAAACCAAGCCTCATTTCAGATTTTATGGTAGAAATGATTCTACACACATTCATTACTTTTCTGAAACTAGATTTTTATTCTCATTTGGGAAATAGAAGCATCAACTTTCTTTTTCAATCTTTCTTCATTCCCACATCAAACTTCAAAGCCTAGTGGACTTCTTTATACCCTCCCTCTACCCCATTCTCCCTTCTATTAAAGGAAAGTATGTGAACACACTCCTTTCTGATATGCCCTGAAATTTCTTTTGAGCGAATAAATGGAATAAGATCTTGTGGACCCCTTGAAAAGTTTGGAATTCTTGTAACTAACACATTCATTAAATACAAAGTTTTTACATGTTTGAACTCCTCTAACAAGGTTTTCTAAATTGTCATTATGTATCACCCTTGCCCACTATGCTCTATTCACCACATAGTGTCTATACTGACTATTATTATTTAAAAAAAAAATGTTACATCATGACATCCTCTTCTTAAAATTATCCAATGATTTCCAATATCGCTGAGAATTACATTAAAAACAAACAAACAAAGAAAGAAAAATTTTTATTATAGTCTACTAGGCCCTAAAGGGCTGGGTCGCCCTCTCAGCCTCATTTCCCTCTACTCTCTCGGTGGCTCACTTGGCTCCATTTTTACTGGCTTTTTGCTGTGCCTCAGACTTATCAAGAAGCTCCTGACTCAGTGCTTAGTACCTGCTAATCTCTCTGACTGGGATATTTTTTCTCTAAATATTTATTCAGCTCATTTGAATCTATTCTCTACTCAAATTTTATGTTGTAAGAAGGATGGTACCACTATCCTTACCACGCTGCTGCTATCACTGAATATCCCCTAAACTTGCTTGTCTTCTCTGCATACAATGCATCACTCTATGACATTATAATGCCTATGTATTTGTATATATATTTCATCAGTCTCCTACTTCAAAAATGTCATCTCCAAAAAAGGAACCCTCATACACTGCTGGTGGGACTGCAAATTGGTACAGTCACTATGAAAAACAGGATGGAGCTTCCTCAAAAAACTAAGAATTGATCTACAATATGATCCAGCAATCCCTCTTCTGGATATTTACCCCAAAGATTTGAAAACCCATATCAAAAAAGATATTTGCACACCGATGTTCACAGCAGCATTACTCACAGTGGCCAGGATGTGGAAGCCATCAAAGTGTTCTATATAGATGACTGTTTAAAGAAGCTGTGGCACATATATACAATGGAAAACTACTCAGCCATAAGAGATGAAATACTGCCATTTGCGACAACATGGATGAACCTCCAGATAAT